GGCGCGTTCCCGGGGGCGATCCTTCCATTATTTTGTCAGAGAATATGTTATCATTGCCCTATTATGTCACTCATGTCCCTCGGGGACACTATTCATATCAGTACCTATTATTTCTCAGGTGACTTAAAGGCGCGTTCCCGGGGGCGCGCCTTCCATTATTTTGTCAGAGAATATGTTATCATTGCCCTATTATGTCACTCATGTCCCTCGGGGACACTATTCATATCAGTACCTATTATTTCTCAGGGGACTTGAAGGCGCGTTCCCGGGGGCACGCCTTCCATTATTTTGTCAGAGAATATGTTATCATTGCCCTATTATGTCACTCATGTCCCTCGGGGACACTAGATGGATTGTGAAATCAGGTAAATTATAACCAAAATTTAACTTCTTTTGAAAGTTTAGCAAGTTAAGAATAAATTATACATATAGATTAATTTAAGTTCATAACTTAAATTAAAACGTTATGTGAAGTTTGAATAAATTAGATAAAATGTTATGGATAAATTGAATAAATGTGAAGTGATAAGTTGATTGTGACATTGAAATTGTATGGAATGAGCATCGAGATGTTTTTACGAATAAATGTGAAGTGATAAGTTGATTTTAATGTATACGTTTTAATATATATGTTAATGATAAAATCATATGTATGGATAAATTTAATTTCAATTTAAGTATTGTGAACTATAATTGGAATATAACTTTTAATTTCGAATACAATTGGAATATTAAGTTGAAATTTAATGTTAAGTTTCAAATACTATAATTATATTTTAATTTTAAATTTCGAATAATATTATTTTTATTTTTATTTTAAATTTTGAATAATATAATTTGTATTTTAAAAACATTTATCAAACATTTAATATTAAATGTGAATAAAAAATAACATTAAAAATATGTATGTAACAACCATGAAACATTTAAATAACATAACCAAATTACATAAAATTCTGAAATATAACTATTTAAATAACATTAAAATACAACTGGTTCACCGATGTCGTCTTCTCGAATAAGTTCCACATGGCGGTGGTTGTCTATTTCGTGGAGGATTTCTTCGTGGAACTTGTTCTTCAGTCTCCTCATCTTCACTATCATCATCATCAGCATTTTCTTCATTTGGTGTAGATGACGCTGAAGGGGCTGAAGGGCATGTATAAAATAACGACCCTGGAGGAGTACTAGTAACAATCCCACCGCTCCCTGGGAACTGTGAAAACTGTGGAAACATTGGCATCGACGTCTGTGATCCAAATGGAGATTGAGGTGTCTGCGGAGAAGCACCACCACCCAAATAAGATGCATATGAACCATTTGCTGGATCATTAAACATAGTCGTATATGCACCTCCATATGGTATAAAACCCTACGAGCTAGGCATGTAACCTGGCGGGCTAGGAATGTAACCCTGCGGGCTCGGAATGTAACCCTGTAGGCTCGGAATGTAACCCTGCGAAGATGGCATATGAACTGGTGGGCTTGGCATGTACCCCTACGGCATCGACGGATAAGGATGTTGTGGTGGGACTGATGCAGAACCGGTAGCGCCTTCTCTCCGTCCACGCGTCGGGGGACGATGATATTGAGACGGTTGACGTCTTTCTCGGCGCCTAGGAATGTTAACCCCTCGTGCTTCCGCCGAAAGTAGAAACGGCTTCCCATTTTCATTAAACCAGTCCATATAGTTATCCGTAACCATATGACCAGTTTCAGCGTAATATTGTCGAGGGGCCAATAGTGTATATCGGTTCTCCCAAAGCGTAATCCAATCTCTGTGTCTCACCACCCAGTTAACATCTTTCTTTCCTCGTCTATCTATGTTATGCACGTCGTCTAAATTCCTAGGTGCTCCAGGAATATATTGTGTACAACCATACTGACGGAGCACGCGATCAACTAGATGCCACTCAATAATAGCATAACATATAAGAGGTATAACTGATATCCATACCTCTAATGACCCACTAAGGTGGGGTGGGATGCAAGCTTTCACTTCATCGCTCGCATAAGGTATCCACTGAAACTGAAATATAAATATACAATTCAAATAAATAAAATATTCTAATTATATCTAGCATTTTAAATTAAAATATTAATAATTAAACAAATTTAAAAACATACCTCAAACCCAGCTTTCGTATCAATAAGTAAACGAATTTCCTCTAACCCAGTAGGTATACTTTTATGGTCCTTTCTTTTCATCGACCACCTATGAAATATAATATAAACTAAATATCACCCTATTTAATTGAAAATATTTAAATCAAAATTTAGTTCAAAAATTACCTCAACAATAAGGGGAATACGTATGGTTCATTCACGATTGGGCATAAGAAAGGCATGTGGAACCACGCCCATGATTGTAGAAGCAGGAGACATCCACCGATAACAGTTTTCTTATAATTCTTCGCCCGACACATTTCTCTAAAGAGAAATACCAAAACTGTAGCGCCCCAACTATATCTTCCAACTTCATCAAAATCGATCAGATGCCGTAACCACATACAATGCACCTGGTTGCGAGATTTGTCGGACATCAATATTCCTCCAATTATTCGTAGAATATATGCCCGAGCACATGCCTTTGCTTGATCCTCTGAAGCATTTTCATTTAAAACCTCAAAATTAGCTTTCAACCAAGATAAAACTATTCTACCTCCATTAAACTCTGGCGGAGCAGCTCCAAGATAATCAATGCACATTGACTGCCAATCACCATCCGCCATACCACACATCATATTTCCGTCGACGGGAAGCCCCAGATACATAGAGACATCCTCCAATGTAATTGTTGCCTCTCCACATGGAAGGTGAAAAGTGTGTGTGTCTCGGGCCTCCACCTCTCAATCAGTACAGAAATTAGGACAGGTTCGAGTTTGCAACCGCCAATAATTGTTGCAATATACCCGAACCCGACAGAAGCCAAATATGGCAAAATACGTTCCGGTGTCGGTATACGTGGATTTTTAATAAAAGTCTCTAAAATAAGATCAGTATCCTAAATAATATACATTATAAAAAATAAAAATTAATATAAATTCATAATAACTTTAAAATAAAAATAAATTTAAATATTAACATTAATTATAAAAAATATTACCATATCGCTAAAATGTCTGGAGATATGATCAATATCCAATCGCAACAGCATTTCGTTTTCCATTATAACTATAGACAAAACAATATAATTAGCACACAAAAAATTAATAATTCTAAATAAATAATAATTATATAAATATTATTTTAATAAAAAAATAATATTTACATAAATATATTAATATAAAATATAATAACTATTTTAAAAAATACTAACATAAAAATAAATTTCTTACCACTAATAACAAATTTAAAACTCAAATAGTTGGAGAATTTGAGTTATATAAGAGAGGAGAATATGATTTTGGTGTGAAGAATAAGGGAGGGTTGATGGGGTTTATATAGGGGAGGAGGAGGGGTAGTTAGGGAAAACGGATGGGGGCATTTATGGCATTTAATGGAAGGCACGTCCCCGGGGATGCGCTTTCCACACGTGGCAGTCGAGTCAGTGAAGGCGCGTCCCCGGGGATGCGCCTTCTACACGTGGCATCCAACTCAGCGAAAACACGGGTAAAGCGCATCCCCGGGGACGCGCCTTTCGCCAGCTCAGCCGAAAGGGTGCCACTTCAGGAAATATATATTTTAAACGGTGCTAAAAAGATAAATAATCGTTAAATATGTGTCAGTTTGGTCAAATCACCTTAGGTATAAAGTTAACAGACCTCGTACTATAAGTCTATAATTATCGTCATAAGTCTCCCTTGTCATTACTATCATTAACCCCCCCCCCAAATTATAGTGACTATATAATACCCTATCTTTTAAAAGAATTATCAAGCAATCAAATAACATAAAATAATTTTATAGTCATGTCAACGATCTTAAAGATAAGTGATTAAAAGGTTTTAGTGAACATTTTTTCTCTTTTAAGTTACTGTTAAATATCTATTTGGAGTAAAATTCTCTTCTTCCTCTTTTAAATAAGAATTGTTCAAAATAAATTTTATAACCATCACTAATGATATTCACACTGATGAGTTAAAGTACCTGTTAGGGTTTCATTTAACTGTTATCTGAGTTGAAGTTTGCGCGTAATCCGATATTTGAACTCTTGATTCCCCTTAATCGAGATCTAAGCTTCCTTCAATCTCTTAAAGACATCAATTTCTAAATCTTCCCACCACCACAAGATAAATTTAACAACCCATGATGTCAAGCAAAAACCAAATCCTCCCTCCAACACGGTTAAATCTAAGATTTGTTTCTACACCCCAATTGCTCAAGGCGAAGGGCCCGGCCTTATAAAAAAACATAAGCAGCCACCACAAAATCAAATTGAAACCCACATATAGTCTGTAATTTTAAGTTTCAAATATCATGACCCAGTCCCTAAACTCGTTACCATTTTTATGCATTGAATTCAACTCACATTTGTCTTTACAAGCCTGGCCCTGATCCCACCACCCTTATTAATTTTCTTTTCTGAGTTTTCTTATGGTGAAAATATATTTTGAAAAATATTTTCTACAAAATGAATTACATTTTTTGGAAAATATTTTTCAGAAAATGTTTTATGGTGTTTGGTAGATGTTGTGTAAACCATTTTTCACTAGTTGATAATTTTTCTAGAAATTATTTATTACAATTATGAAATATAATAAATAATATTATTTATTATAAAAACTTAATATTGTTATTTTAAAAATATTAGAATAATTTATTTAATATTATTTATGTCAATATTATTGTTAAAATATTATTTCTATAATTTTATAAATAAAAATATTAATACTAATATATTCTATTAAAATAAAAATGTTATAGTGTGAAGAAGTACATTGTTTTCTCTCGGTGCATGTTAGCTGGGCTAACAGCGGGTGAAGACGAAGCTGTTTTTTCTACGTTTCTTGCTCATTTTCTTGTTTTCTCTGGACTTTCTTGAGGGGTTTTATTCGCTTATGGCTGGTGAGGGTAGTGTCGACTGGAGAAAGCTTTTCGCGGCTGGGATTGATCAAGAGTTAGATTTCTTTCCTCCTTCGGTGGTTGAGGGTTCTTGTATGGTTAAGCCGCCTCGTGTTGTGTTTGAGGAAGGTATTTTGGAATGGAGGTTCTCCTTAGTTGGTCAATTTGTTGGGCAGGCTCCTAATTTTACTTTTCTTTAGAAAGTTGTTAATCTGATGTGGGGCAAGGACTCGCCGGTGAAGGTAAGCCTAGCTAGTTCGAATTTATTCGTTTTTTCATTTGTTAATTCTTCCGCTAGGGACTGGGTTTTATATAACGGTCCATGGAATGTTCAACATAAGTTGGTTTTCCTTTGGAGATGGGAACCCAATCTGAAAGAACTGCATTTTGATTTGACCTATATGCATGTTTGGATTCAACTATATAATGTGCCTTTGGAATTATTTTCGAAGAAAAGGCTCAGCTATATCGCGAGTGCGATCGATAGACCTCTTTATATGGATTCGATAACTGCCAGTCGGGAGCGTCTTGAGTACGCTCGTGTCTGTATAGAGATTTCTGCTAGAACTCAGATCCCTGATTTTATTGATATGGTTCTTTACGATGAGTCATTGGCTAGAATCGGGGTTTTTGTACCTTGGTTACCCAGTTCTTGTATAGATTGTGACCGATTTGGGCACGCTGTGAAGTTTTGTCCCCAAGGTAAGAAAGTAGATCGGGTCTGGAGAGCCAAAACTTCTGTGCCAACAGCTAAGGTGGTTAGTTTTGATAATATTGGAGGGGTTCCAAGTACTTTATGTGCTGAGAATTCTATTGGTGTGTCTGGTCCCGATATGGAACATAACTAGAATGTGGATTGCCAATCGGGTATTGCTGGAAGTAACCCGGTTGTTCACACGGTGGCTAGTGTGGTTAGTTCTGGGACCTCTTTGAAGCCAGTTGGGCCTACTAATAGTGATAGCCAGGCTATTATTGCTGGTAACAACTCGGTTGTTCATACTGCTAGTTCTGAGAATTCTGGTATTGTCTTAAAGTCAGCTGTGCCTACTGATAGTGCAGATAATCTAGTTGTTGCTGCTGATAGTAATTTGTCTAATGTAATTGGCACAAACTCGGTTACTGTCACGGTGGCTAATGGAGTTCATTCCAAGAGTTCGGATGTGGCTATTGTTGGGAGTGATGATGTAGCTGATTTGGGTTCTAAACTATCTAAAGGTGAGCATGTTCATATTCCTCCTATAAAGAGGGGCAGAGATAGGCCAGCTAAGGATGGAAAATTCGTAGGGGGTGGTTCTAAGAATAAATTTGATGTTCTTAATTCCATAGACCCTGAAAATTTGATGAATGTGCCTTCTGGTAACTTTGGCAAGAAGCATAAGGGTACTGCTTTGGGTGTATCAGCAATCATCCAAGAGTTGAAGTCAAAGAAGAAAGAACATGCTGATAAGGTAAAACATACTGAGGATAGAGGTAGTGCTTCTTCCTCCACCATTTTGTCATGTTAGTCTGCTTTTGGAATATTAGGGGTTTTAACAGTCCCCTAAAACAAAGTGCAGTGTTGAAATGGGCTGTTAAGTGCCAAATTAACATATTATGCCTTCTTGAAACTAGAGTAAAGGAAAGTAACTCTGGAGGTATTCTTTCTAAGAAGTTTGTTGATTGGGGATTCTTCTGCAATTATAGTTATTCTGATAATGGCCGAATTTGGGTGCTCTGGTAAAATCACTTGAGTTGTTCCATTAGTTCTATCTTTGACCAAAGTATCAACACTAAGAGTACTTTCGGTGATAAGGTTTTCTTTTTATCTGCGGTGTATGGCTCAAATGATAGTTTTTCCCGTAGACAGCTCTGGAATCAGCTAAGCACTACGGCTAGTGTAGTGGGAAGTGATGCTTGGTTGATCGGTGATGACTTCAATGTCATCTTAAACATGGAGGAAAGCTCGAATGCAGTAAACTCTGCTACTGTTTCTGATATTTCTGATTTCCAGAGATGTGTTGAGGAATTGGGAATCTTTGACCACCAGTATACTGACCCTTTATTCACCTGGTCAAACAAACAACAGGATACTTACCTGGCTCGTAAGTTAGACCGTGTGCTTATTAATCCTAGTTGGTTTGTGGCTTTTCCTTCTTCGATGGTGAAATTTCATGCCCCTGGCGACTCAGATCACTGCCCAGCTCTAGTCTGGTTTCAGAAGGATGCTCCCATTGATAAGCCAAAGCCATTCAAGTTTTTTAACTTCTGGACAACACATCCTGACTTTATGTCTATTGTAAAAAATTCATGGTAGTCCCCGACCACTGAAAACCTTGCTCATGCATTATTCTTGAAGTTGAAAAGATTAAAACGCTCCCTTAAGGAACTCAACATGTCTCATTTTCGCGTTATTTCTGGGCAAGTTCAAAGGAAGAGAGATGAGCTTCAAAATATTCAACTTTCAAACTTATGTGCTGCTCCTGCTGGAAGTTTTATTAAAGACGAATTGGAGGCAGGAAGGGAGTTTCATTCCCTTGAACAGGTGGAGCTACTATTCAATAAACAGAAGACTAAAGTTGTTTGGATCAGAGATGGTGACCAAGGCACCCATTTCTTTCACTCAGTAGTGGCTAACAAAAGAACTTGCACTACCATTCATGCTCTGTATAACCAGGATGGGGTTAAATTGGACTCATTCGAAGGCATGTCAAATGAAGTAATTTAATTCTTTAAGGATCAATTAGGGGTTGTTGACCTTGATGTCCAGAGCTACAATATTAACGTCATTAGGAGCCTTCTTGATTATACATTACCAAGGGATTCTGCCGATATATTGATCAAAGATGTGTCCGATGCTGAGATTAAAGGGGGCAAGGGTACAACAAGTCCCCTGGTCTAGATGGCTTTAATTCTTACTTCTTTAAGGTTGCTTGGCCTATAGTTGGGAATGACTTATTGGCAGCTATCAGGTACTGCTTCGATAACTCCTTTATGCTCCCATCTTTTAATGCTACTGCTGTGGTTTTAGTCCCTAAAGTCCCCAACCCGAATAAGGTAAAAGATTATAGGCCCATTTCTTGCTGCTCGGTTATATATAAAACCGCTACTAGAATTTTGGTGAACCGATTATCTGTAGTTTTCCCTAGTATGATCACAATGAATCAATATACTTTTGTGAAGGGGAGAAGTATTATAGATAATACGCTTTTAGCTCAAGAGCTTGTTAGGGGCTATTTTAGAAAAAATATCTCGCCTAGATGTGCTCTTAAGATCGACTTGCAAAAGGCTTTTGACTCTTTAGACTGGGAGTTTGTGGGGACTATCTTGCATGCTTTGGGCTTGCCAGAGAAATTCATTGGTTGGATTTGGAACTTTATCACGAATCCTAGCTACTCCATTGTTCTTAATGGCTGCCTTGTTGGATACTTTAAGGGTGCTCGGGGTGTTCGGCAGGGGGACCCCCTTTCACCATACATCTTTGTACTGGCAATGAATGTCTTATCCAAACTTCTGAATTTGGCCGCTGCTAAGGGTGTCTTTAACTACCATCCTAAGTGCAAAAAAATTGGGCTTACCCACCTTTGCTTTGCGGACGATTTACTTGTCTTTTACAAAGGATCCATGGACTCTATTATTGGGGTACAAGCTGTCCTGGACGTTTTTTACACTATGTCGGGCCTGAGGCTTAATGCTAGTAAGTGTGAACTATTTCCTGTTGGAATTTCTGCCCAGCAATGTGTTTCCATCAGGAATATTACTGGCTTTAAATTGGGTAGTCTCCCGGTGAGATACTTGGGTGTGCCACTGGTGTCAAGAAAATTAACTGTGAAGGACTGTCGAAGTCTCATTGATAAGATCAAAGCTAAACTGAATCTTTGGGCCAACAAACACCTCAGCTTTGCTGGTAGATTGCAACTGATCTGTGCTGTTTTATTCAGTATGGCTAATTTTTGGTGTCGATAATTAATTCTTCCAAAAGAGATTATTAGAACTATCGAGCAGCTATGTTCTAGGTTCTTTTGGAAGGGGTCTGACTCGTATGCGAGGGGTGCCCGTGTTTATTGGAGGAAAGTCTGTTTGTTGAAGTCCGAGGGGGGCTTGGGTGTGCAAGACATAGGCGGTTGGAACAAGGCATGTATTGTGCTACTAGTCAGGAAATTGTTGGCAAATGAAGGTTCTCTTTGGGTGGCTTGGCTGCGTGCTTATGTGATTAGAGACAGTGATTTCTGGCAGTTGGATATCCCCAATAATGTTAGCTGGAGCTTCAAACGCCTCTTGAAAGCTAGGCCATCTATTATTCATCTTCTGGCTGATCCAACTCTTGACCTTAGTGCGAGACGTATCTGGGATAACATGCGTATTAAGGAAGCAAATGTTCGTTGGCAGCATCTTGTATGGTTTTCGGGGCGTATTCCCAAGCAGAGAATTATTGTTTGGATGGTCATTTTAAATAGACTCCTTACTCGAATTAGACTTCAAAAGCTCGGTCTTAGTATTGATGATATTAATTGTTTGTTGTGTGGTCGTGAGGTAGAATCTAGGGAGCACTTATTTTTTTAATGTAGCTTTGCTAAGAGTTTGTGGGGGTCTATTCTTACTTTGTGTGGGTTGTTTCGTGTGGTTAGTAATTGGGATGGTGAACTCGCTTGGGCGATCCATTTTCTTAAGGGAAAACCGCTCATTGTGAAAGTTCTTAAGCTCGCTTGGACCAGTAACATTTACTATACATGGAAGGAAAGAAACAACAGATTATTTGGGAGCAGCTTTAGGTCAGTGGAAGCGGTTTTGCAGGATATTAAGGAGAGAGTTCGCATCCAGTTGGCTGGCAAGCCTATTAACAGAGCCGATTCAAGGAACGCTACTCTTTGTGCAAGCTGGGGCATCTCTTAGATGTGCTTCTTTTCTGGTTTCCTATTTGTTAAGCTTAGTTCTGCATTTCTTAGCTAGTTCATTTCCTGTTTTCATGTTGCGTTAATTACTGTTTATCATGCGATCTATTGCTTTATGTATGCTGTAATTTGTAGCAGGTCTCCTGCTTTCTTGGGTAATGAAATGGAATTATCCAAAAAAATGTTATAAATTATTTTAAATACCTATTAAAATAAAAATATTATATTATATTTTTAAAATGATTAATAAATATATTTTAAGGGTTTTTATTAAAATATTATTAGACTACTATATTAATATTAGATACATATGTAATATTATTCACTATTAGTAATTCAATAATATTATTTTTAAGAAATTAATAAATAATATAAATTTTACTAATAATTTATTATATATTATTAAAATAAAAATATAATAGTATCATATATATTATTATAATATAATTGAGTATATTATTATAATAATAATATCATATTATATTATTAAAAATATTATTAAATATATCATGTGAGATAATATTGAGATGAAATTTTTGTTAATGGAAGAAATTTTTTGATTAATTTCGAATAACATTATACATTAGATAAAATTTCTTTCATAAACAAAATAAAACAAATGATTTGGTCTAGTGGTCTACAGGTGAATTTTCCATCCATGCATGTTGAGATGAAGAACCCTTTTTGGTATATTTTTTAGAAATGTGTTTAAATAAGCTAATTAAAATATGAAATATGTTATATTGTGATTGAATGTAATATTAATTTATTATTGACGTTATATTCTATTATGTTATATTTTTTATGTAAATGTATCATGTCAAATTTTCAGTCTATTTTCAAACATTTATTATTTGTTAATTAATAATTTTATAAAAAAATTATCTTAAAATAAAAGGTTAAGAATTAAAATATTTTATAATATATTAAAATAATTATTCAATTAAATAATAAAAATACTTTTAAATATAATTTATATTAAATATAAATGAATCTGAATGAAATTTGCTACTGGTATAAGAAAATAGTTAAAGAGCATTTTGTGAAAATGAAATTTATTTACAGTTTGGCATTAAAAATCAAAAGATATGCTACCCTATAAATCCTATAAATCTAATTTATGAAAATCCACCAATACCAAACATTTTCTCTCTCACTGTCATAATGAGCCCCCGCTTTACCTTCTCTCTCTTCATTTCCCTATGGTTTCTTTCCGCCCACCCAGCCACCGCCAAAGACTACCTCAAGCTTCCCTTACTCCACAAAACCCCACCTCCTTCCCCCACCCAAACCCTCCTCTCCGACATTCACCGCCTCCACCACCACCAAAATACCCGAAAGGGCTACGTCAAGTCACCCGTAGTCTCCGGAGCTCCATCAGGCTCCGGCCAGTACTTCGTGGAGCTTCGCTTAGGCTCCCCACCCCAACCCCTCCTCCTCGTCGCCGACACCGGGAGTGACCTCCTTTGGTTAACGTGCTCCGCCTGCCGCCACAACTGCACCCCTTCCCATTCTCCGGGCTCCACATTCCTGGCCCGTCATTCCTCTTCTTTCTCTCCCCACCATTGCTTCGACTCCGCATGTCGCCTCGTCCCCCATCCCGACCACAACCCTTGCAACCGTTCCCGACTCCACAGTCCTTGTCGTTACCAATATTCTTACTCCGATGGATCCATGACCAGCGGCTTCTTCTCTGAGGACATGGCCACCTTAAACACTAGCTCCGGTAGGGAAGCCACGCTTGAGAAGCTCTCTTTTGGGTGCGGGTTCCAGATCTCGGGTCCAAGCGTCTCTGGCGCCAGCTTCAATGGCGCTCATGGAGTGATGGGGTTAGGCCGTGGCTCTATTTCCTTTGCTTCTCAACTTGGCCACCGTTTCGGCGACAAGTTCTCATATTGCCTCATGGACTACACCTTATCTCCACCTCCGACGAGCTATCTCATCATCGGCGACGAACAAAACACCATTTCAAGTAACCCCAAAATGAGCTTCACCCCATTACTTATCAACCCATTGTCTCCCACATTTTACTACATTGAGATCAAAAGCGTGAAAATCAACAGCACCAAACTACGGATCGATCCTTCCGTTTGGTCACTCGACGAGGTCGGAAACGGCGGCACCATCGTGGACTCGGGAACCACTTTAACATTTGTACCGGAAGCAGCCTATGTTGAGATATTAACAGCGATTAAACGAAGAGTGAAGCTACCGAGTCCGGGAAAGGCAACGCCGGGTTTCGACTTGTGTTTCAATGTAACAAGTGAGCCAAAGCCGAAGTTGCCAAGGTTGAGTTTGGAACTGAGCGGAGGGTCCGTGTTAAAGCCGCCGCCGATGAATTATTTCATCGACACGGAGGAAGGGATCAAGTGCTTGGCGGTGCAGCCGGTTGGCAAAGAAATGGGGTTTTCGGTGATTGGGAATCTGATGCAACAAGGATTTTTGTTTGAGTTTGACAGGGACAAGTCGCGCCTCGGGTTTTCGCGTCATGGTTGCACCTTTGCTTAAAAGGGAGCTGAAACTCCCCTGCTGCTGGCTCACTGAGTCAACTCGTTTTGTTGCCTTTTTTTCATATATAATATATAAAAAATATTTGTGAGGAACAATATTTTCGGAGGAACAATATTTTCGGGAGAGACACAGTTCAGTATTTTAGTTCCATTGCTATATTGAAATATTGATATTTTAAAGAGAAAATAACATCAGTGATAAAAAATACCTTATAATATACGATTTTAATCAAATTTTTTTGGATTTGTCAAAATGACCAACTAAATCGTAATGCGATCGATAATTCGCAACGCGATCTCCGGTATCGTAAATCAGTTTCCAGATTCGTAACGCGAACTTCGACTATCGCATTGCGATTTACATATTCGCATTCGACTATCGCAATGCGAACTTGGACCATCGCAATGCGAATATGTAAATCGCAATGCGATAGTCGAAGTTCGCGTTGCGATTTATTCCAAATTCGACTATCGCATTGCGATTTACATATTCGCATTGCGATGGTCCAAGTTCGCATTGCGATTTATTCCAAATTCGTTGCGATAGTCCAAAATCGCAACGACTGGTGGTATTGCATTTGTTTCTTAAGAATTTTCTCTAAAAAGATAGTATTCGCGCGGACATGTCGAAGACACGTATTACCACGACCACGACGAGACGGACGGCGGCGGCGGCGCGCGAGAGTCTCCCTTGTTCTCTATCACTCAACAAAGAAGTGGGAAAGTCAAGCCTTAAATACCATTCTCAATAGTGTTTCCAATATGTGGGATTGAGCATTACCAACATTGTTTCTAATACAATGGATTATTCAGGAAACAATTAACAATCATGCACCTTAAAACAACTGAATCAGCAACCAATTGCATTAGTATTATACGATTAAATATGTCATAATTAAAGTCAATCTACAATCATCGCGATTATTGCAATTTTAAGCAAAACATTCAAAAATAATATAACTATTTAAGGCTCAATCACACATAGTATTGGGAACAAGTGTTGGTAATACTCAATCCCACATAGTATTGGAAACACTATTGGGAATGGTATTTAAGGCTTGGCTTTCCCACTTCCTTGTTGAGTGATAGAGAACAAGGGGGACTCTCGCGCGCCGCCGCCGCCGTCCCGTCTCGTCTCGTGGTCGTGGTCGTGGTCGTGGTCGTGGTCGTGGTTGTGGTCGTGGTCGTGGTAATACGTGTCTTAGACACGTCCGCGCGAATACTATCTTTTTAGAGAAAATTCTTAAGAAACAAATACAATACCGTCGTTGCGATTTTGGACTATCGCAACGAATTTGGAATAAATAGCAACGCGAACTTCGACTATCACAACGAACTTGGACTATCGCAACGAATTTGGAATAAATCGCAACGAATTTGGAATAAATCGCAACGCGAACTTCGACTATCGCAACGAACTTGGAATAAATCGCAACGCGAACTTGGACTATCGCAATGCGAATAGTCGAAGTTCGCGTTGCGAATCTGGAAACTGATTTGCGATACCGGAGATCGCGTTGCGAATTATCGATCGCATTGCGATTTAGTTGGTCATTTTGACAAATCCAAAAAAAATTGATTAAAATCGTATATTATAAGGCATTTTTTGTTACTGAGGTTATTTTCTCTATTTTAAATCAATTATGCGGTAATTTCGATATATGCCTGATTCAAATAGAATATAAATATTAAATAATTGAAAATGGAAAATGTAAAGAGAGCTATAGAAAATGACAACCTGGCAGCTGTTTAATTGGCTTCATTCTCAGTTGTTGTCTATGATCTTCATGTCATCTATATTTTATATCACGTGATATATATATACTCTACTTTTAGTGTCACGATTCACGAATCAAGTAACACGAAATTATAATATCAAAACGATAATAAATATCTATAAATTTATAATATCATGTAAATGATTAATTTAAAATTATTAAAAGTAAATTTACCCCTAAAAAGTAAAAACTATCACTAAGGGAGTGTTTAAAAATATCACATGAAAACTGAATTTAAGTGGGTTTACATTTTAATTATAAAGATGTGGCGTGTTCGGTTAATTGTTATAATTTATGAGTCTTATTTCAATATAATAAAAAAATTAGGAGTAATTACTTGATCGAGTCAAGTATAATAAAAAAATTCGAGTTAGCCAAGTTCACATGTCATATTTCAATATTCAAACTTTATTTTATTTTTTTGAGTCGAGTCAAATTTATAAAATTTGAGTGAAATTGAATCAAATTTTTTAGTTTTTGTTTAAATTTAATTACAAATATTTTCTAATATTATGGTTTGATTTGATCCAATTTAACGATATTGTCTAACCTATAAGATATACATATATATTTTTTGTATCTTTTATATTGTAATGTTATTTAATAAATTAAAAGTCATCTAAAATTATAAAATATATTGACGAGAGTATAATAGAGTAAATGAATGATAAAATGACAAAATTTACAACAAAAAAATTATAGTAAAAAAATAA